GGAGGAAAAAAACCATTCACTATATTAAAAACCAGGCCCAGTTTTGTCCACTATGATTAACAGTGGCTTTCATTGTTCTCAAGCCAAAGTCAGTCACTTGTTGCCTAATCCTTTTATCTAGAGTTCCCAGGGATTGAATATTCAGCATGCAATGCTTGTTCTCTCCCATCTTCAATGGGTTATCAACCAGATATACCGTCCCCCAATGGGTTACCATCATTAACATCAAAAACCCACCAAACAGTGGGGCGAAACAGACGGCCCCTTTGTGGCGGCTTCCTGGCAGCTTGAGGGTGTGTCGTTTAGACAACGTATGGCCCCAGGCTGCCAGGAGGACGCCATAAAGCCACCCGACTGACCACACACTAGCAGCTTTTTGGCCCTCCGGTGGCATGGCATTTAGACACCACATGCCACAGGAGAGCCGAAAAGCCACCACCGCAACAGAAAAGCCGTTGTTTTTTCCCCCAGCTTAGAAAGGAGTGGCTTTCTGCCGCTTCTTTTTGAGCCAGCAAAGCGTTGGGTTAGGGATGAGGTGTGTGTTTATTGTAGCCCCAACCCAGAGATCAAAGGGGCTGTGTGATGTCGCTCCTTCGGGGCAGTCTGTTTTGCCCCAGTGATACCTTTTTCGGGCCAACCAAAGTGTACAACAGGGGTAGGCAACCTTTCCCCTTTAAGGGCCGAGGGACTTCAGCTCCCAGAAGCCTCAGCCATGTTGGCCAATAGTCCCATGTTGGCCAATAGCTCCTGGGATTCTGGGAGCTGAAGTCCCTCGGCCCTTAAAGGGGAAAGGTTGCCTACCCCTGGTGTACAATATACATGTCCCTTGTAGTGACCCTTAAATACATTTGAAATGACAATTTCAAGAATGCTATTGAAACTACAGGTGTTCTACTTCTAAAATTATATTAACATCAGCCCAGAAAGTGTACGTTTTCTGTTTCATCTCAACTCAAAATAGTTTATGCCACTGAGAAGTTGGAATTTCCTGTAAGATGGGAACGCTGCATGCTGTCCTAGCTCTTGATCTGACTTGGCTTTTAATTTGAAATCATTACCATCGCTCGAGACTTGTTGAGAAATGAGTTGCCCCATTGATGGTGATCCCTTCCAGAAAACAGATTTTGTTCTTAGATTATTGAGCTGCCAGATGTAGAACTGAGTGAGTTATAAATGCTTCCTTCCTCCTACAAGCCATAATGTTGGGAATGTTGTCTGAAACATTCCTAAGCAGCCAGTAAACTTAAGAGTTTGCTCCACGAAAGATAAACCATTCACAGTGGAGCCCTGGTGTTTTTATGAGCTAAGATAGTAGTAGTCTCATCTATAGTCAGTGAAAAGGGAATTTACATCAGGTATGGGCATACGTTAAATGTAGTTAAAAAGCATTCAGATCATATGTCCCCCTCATGGCAATAGACAATGTGCATTTGTTGCAAAAGCTATGGAACACAACTTTGGTTGTATCAGTTAAAGCATCATCAGCAAAGGAATGCAAAATATGTGTGGTTTAAACTTAATTGCATTTTTCCATTTTAAGAAATCAGTATGTACGGCTCCCTTCCAAATTACTATTTCGAAACACTTGCAACCTGAGGTATGCATGTTTCCTGAACATATATAGAATTGCAGCTTTAATCAGTAAATTAGTCCATTAAAACTATAATTGATTAATTAGCAGTGACAAATTTTAAGGGTATAAATTATGGCATGGCTATTTATTTTTCAAGTTATTCTGGAGTGTTACTGTAACAAACAAAACACTTTTAAGGACAGCCATTCTTGCCAAGAGATGGTCATTTTTGCTTTTTCCAGGCTAAACCAGTCCCACATACTTTTACATACAGAACTCAATGGTTCTTTTACAAGTAAAAGCTGGCAGAGGACTTCACTGTGATTCAACCAACTGCTTTACTTTATCTAAAGAAAGACAAAGAGCAAAAGGCTCCTTTAGAAAGTCACACCCACACCCACGTCTGGTTGTAGAGACTGGGTCTGGTTTAGATTATATGCTCTTTTCAATTTTTTAAAAAATTCCATAGTGGATTTTTTATAAAAAGGAAAAAGATGGAAGAAATTATGGGAGAATCTAGGAGGTTACAATACAAGTGAAGTACAACAATGTTGGGACCTTCCCTGCACTAACACCCTCAGTAAAATTCTGTCAATGAGACAGGGCCATTGCATAACAAAACTGCATCTGGAAGCACTTTAATTATATTAAAGTATTTAGAGAGAAGTATTATGCTAAATTCTTTATATTCTAGATAATTTGATGTAATATGCATCTATGTGCTCATAGGATCAGGGTCAAGTAAACTACATTTCCCATGAATCCCTAACCCTAACCCTAACCCTAAAAGTGGACTAAATTTGCACTATTTCTGGCAGTCTGCAACCCCCCTAAGGCCTAAATCTGACTGTGAGTCCCCTATAATACTGTAGATTGGTTCAATCAACTGCTGAATGGGAAATCAAAACTTATTGTAAATCCCATTGATTTAACTGGTCTGCTTTAGCTGGGAATACCAATTGCATTTAGCTATTAATTCTGAGAGTAATAGAGTACAGTCATCCCTCCACTTCTGCAGGGGATCCGTTCCAGACACCACCACCACCCCACAAAAACGGAAATCCGCAAATATCCAAGCCCCACAGGCTTGAATGGCCGCACGCTCCCGTGTGCACACCATTTCAACCCTCCCTGCTTGCCAGTCCACGAAGGACCGAAACCGCAGACTTGAAGTCCATGAAAACAGAGGGAAGAGTTTATTACTGGATAAAATGGATATTTTATCCTTAGAAAATGGGCCATTGCAATTACAGTGTTACCTGTTTACACAAGGACTGAGCCAATAGTTTTTTCAGTATCCCGAGTGACTCTCTTTCTCACTTGCTATACTTCAGGTATGCTGAATTTTTGGTCCACTAGAGGATTTTGGCCTACAGGTCCTATCTGCCACTCCCAACATGATCAGTGATAAGGAATTGTGGGAACTGCCATCAAAAACATCTGAAAAGCCCCAAATTCCCTCTCCCTACTATATTTGTTCCATACTGTGGCCCTAACACACATTTTTAACATGCAAAGAGGGAAGAGGAACAGATTGGTTTCATTCTTCAGGTCAGTTTCACTAGTGACAATGTTGTTGTGCGCCTTCAAGTCATTTTTGACTTAGGGTGACCCTAAGGCAACCCTTTCATAGGGTTTTCTTGGCACGTTTCTTCAGGGAGTTTGCCATTGCCATCCTCTCAGGTTTTTGTTTTTGTTTTGGTGTGTGTGTGTGCAAGTGGGGATTGAACCCTGATCTCCAACACTTACACCCCACTGGCTGACTAGTGACACTAACATACATTTTACAATCTTTTTACATAGATAAATGGCACATAAGAATGTATATTCATGTTATTAATAATGTGAAAATTGTCAATGTGGTATAGACCAGAGAAGGTAAATGGAAGATTTTGTGTTTGTATTATATATCAGTTTAAGCCTCAGGTATGAAAACTATGGCAAGCAAGTGAAACTCACCAAAGCAGAAATTGACTTTGTTCCTTTTGTTTCAGATTAGCAAGAAGGGTTTTTACACATGTCCTAATTAGTTGGGACTGAAGTGCATTTCCCAGCATTTAGCTAGGCTGGCTAAGGCTGCTGAGAGTTGCAGTTCAACCAACAACTGGAACGCTGCACAATTCCAACCCCTTAAAGAGATAAAAATCCAAGGTGCTTAAAAGAAAGGTTGAGGGGCATTGTTGTATAAAACATTTTCATGACCTTCCAGATGACCTAGTGCTTGTGAGACCTCCTAGGTCAGGATTCTTGAGCGCCTGGTGTTAACTATCTCAAAGTTCTTTCACACACATTAACTCCCAGGACCCACACATCACCCCCCCAGATATAAATCTTGCCTCTCCTTGCTAATTCTCAGGAAGCATCAATAGTCACAGCAGGAGGTAAATGCTTTCATCTTACACAACACTTTACTTACCAACACTTATTTACCCATGTTCCTCTTTCCCTTCTGCAATGTTCAAACCTCTTGGCCTAATGATTAAACCCATATGCCTCTTTCTGCAGCCTGGGGAGTTTAATAATTAGGTCAAATGAGTAGGAGGAGAGGCTGGGAAGTGGCTACTAGACCCACACAGCTATGCTCTCACCCTGCGTCTCCATTCCCACGTTGACGAGGAAGCAAGAAATATTATTTTTGAAAACAACACTGTAAGGACAAATTCCTTCTCCTTCTCACTAAGATCTCCTCCTATCCCCACAAAAAAGTATTGGGAAAGAAGAGGAAAATACATTAAAAATACACAATGTTTAGGAGAGACATGTATGGGAATTAAGTTTATATACAGATGTCTATGGTTCATGTTTGCATCTCAGCATTCCCAAACCACTGGTCCACTCGCATCTAATTCGTTCAGGCATGCCAACTGATGTCATATTTTTTCAGAATATTTTTCACATGGCAGTTAAAGCAGCATCATAGTGCTATAATTCTGTAGTGTGAAACAGCCCTCAGAAGAAATTCCCATTGTACCAAATGATACTTATTCCTACAGAAAGGGTGTGTACACAGAACTGCAACTTGGTATTATAATTATTACCTAAGTAAGGTTATACACTCATCTCATCACTCTCCACAGTGTGCTAGTGCCTTGCGGACCACAGAAGCACTCACTTGAAAGCATGCCGAAAAGGCACGCAAATGGTAGTCAACAAGGTAGGAATGGATGAGAGCCTGGCCAGAGATCATAGATCAATACACAAATAATGGAAGTCCTTTTATATTGTTGACTTCTACAACAAAGGCACTTTTATCAGATAAACTGCAGAAGAACTGTTATTCATCTTACCATAAAATCCACTGACTTCAAAGGTTAATGTAGGATGAAATTTCATTTGCAAAATTTTACTCGCTAAGAAAGCAGGTTCTTCTGCTAGAAAACCCATAACAGCCCTACGTATGTTTTCCTAGGAGCAATCCCTTCATGAGAGCTAGCATGGTATAGTGGTTTGAACACTGGACTATAACTCTGGAGATCAGGGTTTGATTCCCCGTTTGGCCATGGAAACTCACTGGGTGACCTTGGGTGAGTCATACACTCTCAGCCCCAGAAAACCCCATGATAGGATCACCTTGGGGTCACCATAAACTGGAAGAAACTTGAAGGCACACAACAACAACAAAGTGTTTCTACCTTTGTCTATAATACTAGATATATTTAGGGTAGGCCCACTGTATCAGTGGGCTAGCGGTCTGAGGACTAAAACGTCCTTGGATCACCCCACCCTATTATTGTAAATGGCAGCGAATGCATGCACCTGCATGTTGCCACCCATTGACTATAATGGGGCTTAAGCATGCATGTTTTTTTCTCATCCTCAGTGTCGGGGGTGAACTGAATCCCAGTGGATGGGAAGGGTATAAGACCTAAATACCTTAAAGGCACCAGATCCCATCTGATCTTGAAATCTAAGCAGGGTCAGCCCTGGGTAATACTTGGATGAGAGAATGCCAATGAATACCAGGTGTTGCAGGCTCTATTTCAGAGGAGGAAACTGGCAAAACCATCTCTGAGTATTTCTTGTCTAAGAAAACCCTATGAGATTTATGGGATCACCATAAGTCAACAAGCAATTTGAAGGCACATTGCGGCACATACAAATTGAAAGCACACACGTGTAAGTTTATCGCACGGAAGTTAAGGAACAGGAACAGAATGGAACAGAATGCAATGGAATGGAACGGAATGGCTGGGGAACAGATCGGGGACTCCCAGCGGCATCGGTGGCATTCTCCCGTGCAGTAAAATGCGCTTTTGCTCCATTCCATTTCCTTGCATTCTGTTCTATTCCCATTCTTCGAAGTGCCGTGTGATAAGCTTAATGGATTAAATAATGCCTAAAGGCCTAACTCTCACAGACTGGAGCCCAATTCATTTATATACACCATTCCGTGATTACCTAATGAATGTAGTCTTTAAAAGATGACAAGACTGTTTGTTGTTTTTGTTGTTTCAATAGACTCATACAGCTTCTCCTCCTGAAACTGACCAAGACTGAACTCTCAATGCGTAGTCTTGAAAGTTCCAATGAGCTCTGTAGTGTTATCGCCGTCAAACTGTTGCCATCTATATTACTATCATCTGCTTTGAAATAGCATAAATATAAGGAAGAGGAATGTTACCCTCAATTCAGTTCCTTGCCTGCCTACTTAAAGGGTTAACTAGTCTTAACTGTCTGTGACTTTTAAGAGCCTTCTTTGCTCTTTCTTGACTCACTTCAAAAACATGTGGCCAAGTCAATGGGTGACTGGCCTTCCCTCAGGCTGTAAATATCATAGGCACACAAACATTATCCAATAAGCACACCTTTCTCCCAATGCTGAATTATCTCCCCATTGTTGGGAGTGGGCATGAGCATGTTAAATTGTTTAATGAGTGCTAAACTTTAAAAATAAATAAAGACAGAAAACCAGATATTAACATTCTCCAAGACTGGCTTGCATATAACCAGTGTGAAATAGTTACACAAACTCCAGGCGGTTAATTCATCCAGCCATCAGTTAGAGCAGGGGTCGGCAACCTACGTCCCGTGGGCTGGGTCCGCCCCCCCGAGGCCTTTGGACCAGCCCCCAACGACCCCTGATGACCCCCACTGCTGCGGCGCACGCTGCCACCATGCCACCGTGCCACCGCCGCATACGTTTTCCAAAATGGCAGATGCGACTCATTTGCGCATGCACAGGACTCCTGCGCATGCACAAACGAGTTGCGGCCACCATTTTGGAAAACAAAATGGCAGTTGCAACTCGTTTGCGCATGCGTAAGAGTACTGCGCATGTGCAAACGAGTCACAGACGCCATTTTTTTTCCAATATGGCAGCCGTGGGGCGCGCAGTGGCAGCATCAGCCCGCGGAAGACTCGGGGCTCCCCGGACCGGCCCCAGGTAAGGGGAACTTGCCGACCCCTGAGTTAGAGCTTTATTGAGGTGCACCACAGAGTCACCATAAGGAAGAAAGACTTGAAGGCACATAACACACAATTGGCAAAAACAACTAGATTTCTCAAAGGACGTTTTCACACTTGGGGTCTCAAAGCCGCCTGGAAGCAATCAAGAATCATTCCGGAATGGATCCTGTAGCTTCAGACCAGTGAAAGCAGCATCATTCCGGAATGGTTCTTGATTGCTTCTGGCTGCGGCAACTCAATTCCTTTTTGAAAAAGGAATTGCAAAGAATGGGGATGATGCAGGGATGGCACTGGATGGGGCAGGGTGGGGCAGGGCTTGCTGCGACGTAAGTGTGAACACTCGGAGAAAGGACCCGGAATGATGCAGGATTGCGCCGGGGATGGCACTGGATGGGGCGGGGCTTGTGCAACGTAAGTGTGAAAATTTTGCAAAGGATCCGGACTGGGGCCGGAGTGAAGTAGGATTGCATCTGCCTTAAGCCCAGTGTGAAAACGTTCAAAGTGATGATGCAGCATTGACACTAACTGTTCTCTTATGACATGAATTTTCATGAGTAACAGCTTGGATGGGTAGTCACGTTAAGACTGTTGAATTTAAAAAGCCAACAACAACCCAGGAAGGAGCCTTTGGGCACATAAAATTAGACACCTAGAGTCAGCCTTCCATATCCACAGACTTTTTATCCATGGATTCAAGTTTCCATGGATTGAAAATATTCCAAAAAATATAAATTCCAAAAAACAAACCTTGATTTTGCCATTTTACATAAGGGACACCATTTTACTATGCCATTGTATATAACGGAATTTGAGCATCCACAAAGTTTGGTATCCTCAGGGATGTACTGGAACCAAACCCCAGCAAATACCAAGGACCCACTGTATATCTGTGCATTCCTTGCCCAAGAAAACCTTATCAAATTGATGGAGTCACCATAAGTTGATCGGCAACTTGAAGGCACATGAACACACACATCATGGCACAAATATTTGCAGAATACAGTCTTCTTTATTAGATGTACTACAAAAGATTTCACCTAAAACCACAGGAAGAATGTCCTGATGGTAAGAGCTATCTTTCAGAACAGCTTTAGTTATGTATTCCTTCATGGCAGGGAGTTTGACTACATAGTCCTTGTGGTACTTTCCAGTTTTATGATTCTGAGACTGCTTCTGCACTGCAAAAATAATAATCCAGGCTGGCAACACTTTAACTTTCAAGGCTCAATGCTATGGAATTCTGGGAACTGTAGTTTGTTGTGGCATCAGAGCTCTCTGATAGATAAGTGTCTCAAAAAACCCTACAATTCCCAGAATTCAATAGCATTGAGCAATTGCAATTAAAGTGGTGTCAACCTGGATTATTTATGCAGTGTGGATGCAGCCTGTGACTCTACATATAAAGTGTTGTCCTTGGTCGTCAAGCATATATTCACAGCAGTTACAGCAAGGGTGGGGATTATGCATCTCTAATATCTCGCCTCTAATTACCTCTAATTTTACTAATTTTTATTTTTCTCTCTCTTAATTAGTATTTTATTGTTCATTTTTTATTGTTACTGTTTTTAGTTTGTTTCTTTTTTATGACTGGGAGAGGGGTTGGGATAAGGGGATTATTCAGAAATGTGGATTTTAATTGTATATTGTATTTTATTGTTATTCTTGTTTGTTGTAACCTGCCTTGATCTGCAGGGAGAGGCAGGTTATAAATAAAATGCATTATTATTATTATTATTATTATTATTATTATTATTATTATGCAGCCTTCTGTTAGTGTATCTCCCAGTATAGCTCACCATTTAGGGCTCATTATGACAACATTGTTGTCATAATTTCCTACCCAATTTGATTGTGAATGAAGTTCACCAACAAAACTTTTCAAGGAGGAGAAAAATAGCTTTCATTGAAATAAACTAAAAAGGACTTACTTCTGAGTAGACCAATATACCGTACATATTTGTCTTAATCAATTATACCTGCCAAACACTGCTGCAAAACTAATGCAGTTTAATACTGCCATGGCCCAGTGCTATGGAATTACAGGATTTGCAGTTTTGTGAGACATATTAGCCTTCTCTGTCAGAGTGCTCTGCTGCCACAACAAACTACAAATCCCAGGAGTCAATAGGATGGAGCCATGACAATTAAAGCAGTGTCAAACTGCATTAATTCTGCTGTGTTGCAGCAATCCAAGTCTTACTAATGGGGTGAACTATGGGTTTATTCTGTTAATTAAATTAAACACTGCTAGGAACAAAGCTGACTTTAGGTATTCAGGGCTTCTGCATTATTTCAATCAATAAGGGCAATTCTCTCATTCAGAATAAATAAGTAAATAAAGCCTCCCAAGAAGCCAAAAACAATTGGTCACTTTGATTTGATTCTGGCGGTATTTCTTGTGCTTCGACTTAAAAGGCACCATCCAGGTATTCCACTCTCCTTTCCTTAGCAGATTTTCTGTGGTATGGAAATAGCAAAGTTGTGGTGGAAAAACACAGAACAGCCACAAATGAAAGATGATAACATCTTTACTTCCCTCCCCCAGACAAATTATCTGAATGAAGCAGGGAGATTGCACAATGAAATCTTCATTCGAAAGCACTTCAGCACTAAACAGGGGCAGGAAGGAGAGATGAAGAAAAACCCATGAAAATACACAAGGGAAATACAATCACAACTCAAAATGGTGAAACTGAATCACCTCCACTTACGCCACCACAGAGTTATTCTTTCCAGTAGCAATAGTGTTTATTTATACACACCACAAAACAAAAAGGTCATACGTTTATTCCCTGATATACAAACACAAGACTTGTGTGTGTGCAGGTATGTATCTGTGCTTTCAATTTACCTGTCAATTTATGACAATCCCATCACCTTCATAGGGTTTTTTAATATCCAGAGGTGGTTTTGCCAGTTCTTTCCTCTGAAATATAGCCTATATATATTTTTGGTGGTCTCCTATTCAAGTACAAACCAGGGCTGGCCCTGCTTAGCTTCCATGATCAGACAGAATCTGGTGCCTTTAGGGCAGGGGTAGGCAACCTAAGGCCCGGGGGCCGGATGCGGCCCCTCAAAGCCTTTGGACCGGCCC